AGCACCGGCTGTGTTCAAAGCAGCTACTATGTTAAAAGCAGTTACTGTGTTGAAAACAGCAGTATTGGAGGTGAAATCCAGACAAGGATGCCCCTTGTCCCCACTCTTATTTAACATCGTACTGGAGGTCCTAGCTAACAACATAAGACAAAGAGATGATGGCCAGACATCTGCGCTCCAATGTTCATCGCAGCACAGTTCACAATTGCAAGGAATTGGAAACAACCCAAATTTCCATCAACAAATGGAAAACTTATTTAAAAAATTAAAAAACTGTGGTACATACATGCAATGGAGTATTACGCATCGCTAGTGATGCACATGTGATGAAAAAGCATGAAGCACATCGCTGCGTGGCAAGAACCGGAAGAAATTAATGCTAAGCGAAGTAAGCCAAGCAAAAACGGACAAGTAAGTACAACATGAGTCTGCTGAGTTAAGGTGAAAATTGCTAAACAGGCATAGGGAAAAAGCTACAGTATACATACATTCCTGGAGTGAGGCCCAGGTAGTATGGACGAGACCAGGGATACATATGGTAGCCAACTAAAAAGGAAGGGGGAAAAATGAAAAAAAAAAAAAAGACATGGGTAGTGGGGGAACTAACCCACCCAAGGGGAGGGTATTTTTTAAATCTCCACAAGGGAGGGCCCAGACGTCAAATCTGTGCTCCAAGATGTGAATGCAACATACCGACATGAAGCAGGGAACCAATAGAGAGGTCTGAAGGGCTGGTCCCAATTCCAACTACGTGGACAACCCCCCTCCCTGCAGAATTCACTTCAGAGGACAGCACTGAAGCTGCAGCTCAGGGAGAGGAAGTGTCTGATTAGAGCACACAGGAGCAAATGAAGGGGGAGAAAGAGAAAGTGGAGCACATCCTGGTCCATCAAGCTTTGGGGAAGATATCCCTGCTCAGAGCAGCCAATGCACAGAGAGGACCATAGGGCTAGCCCCACTGTCAGACACCACATCCCTCACTGCCCCATAGCACTGTGGGGGTCAACACTGGAGGCAGTGTTGGAACTGTGTCTGATCTGACCCCACCACAGAGGCGAAACACTAAGGGTGCGCAACAGAACAGAACAGAGCAAAGAAGTCCCCAGGGAATACCAAAAATAGACTGCGTGGCCAGGGCGTGGCACCCATCAGATTCAACCAGAAAACACTCCTAAAGATCAACAAACAGACCTTGAAGTATTTACAGGCTTTTCTTTCTTTTCTGTTGTTTTCTTTTGTTCCTTTGTTTTGCTCTGCCTTGTTCTTTTGTGTACATTATTATATCTGCAGGTCTTTCTAGATAAGATAGGCAGGATAAATAATCTGGAGGAGAAATCAATGGGACAGACAATTCTCAGGGACATGGGAAAGGGGGGGGAGGAAGTGGGTGTTAACAAACCCAGGGAAGAGGGAATAACAAGTGATCCAAAATTAGTGGCTAGTGCCCGCGTGGATTCGTACCCCACTCTCGGTACCATAATGAGTTAATCTTTGTCACAAGCTGTAAAAAATCTGGAACCATGAAGAAGACTCCTCTCTGGCACTGAAGGCTAAAAGGAGCTTACTGTGTTAGTCCAAGTACTTTAAAGAAACAAATCCACAGAAACTCATTTATAAGAGAGAGTTTTATATAAAGGTTAAGTGCATATCAAGAAAACATCCCAAGCCAGTGCTGCCCAACCAACAAGTCCAACATTAACCTATTAACCCATATATCCAACACCAATCCACAAAGTCCTCCTCCATCTCACAAAACACACACTATGATGCCGACTGCAGGAGAAAAGCCGAGTCAGTGAATGTGTAAGCATCTCAGTGCTGGAAGGGGTCTATGGGTGCTCCAGCACCCAAGGCTGCATTGGGGTAGGTCCATGTGGCTTCTCCTCAGGGATGTCTTGCAGGAAACGAGCCTTGCCAGCTAAAGCAGGGAACTGGCTAAGGCAGCTGCACCCTGGTGCAACCATCACAAAGCAAGAGACCCAAGAACTAGAAAGGCGAGGCTCACGGAGCCATTTATCCCTCCGCCCTTCAGTTAACCCCACGTGTTTATGGGTCAGGTTGGCACAATAAACTAACTACCTCAATCCACTCCTTGCCAACCTGGCACCTGTACATAATTCTTAGCTTCATGATTGAAATTAAGTAACACCTACACCTTAACCCTATAGTCCTGTGAATTTTCCCTCCCACCTATGAAAGTTTGTAAGCCAACCACTTCATGCCTTTATCCCCCCCAATTTTGAGTATCCAATTTATATACTGCCCACTAACAAGTTCTCTGAGAAGACAATCATATTTTTTGACATGAAGAGTCTTCATTCCAGTTGGAACCATGTAAAGTCTGCATCCATAAGCAAAGTCAAATCTGGACAGGTCATTCAAAGTCAGTAACAATATGAGCCAGTTCACAGGCTGAAAAAACTCCATCTGGTCGGGTTAAGTCAACTCAATGTGGGTTGCCTCATTCAGTCTCCACAGGGTGCCCATTGGTCGCCTTGCCTTAAGACCATGGGCTCTCACAAATACTCAACAAGCCTAGACCCCTCGGGCTAGGTCATGAACTTTAGACTCAACCCACTCTCATCTTCTCCTTTGTTTCCTGAAAACCAAGTCCACAGGTGTCAGTGGCCAAACTCAACATGTATCTTTATTGCTGCATTTCTCCCACTTCCACTCGACAAGTAGATGCAGGTGGTCATCTAGCAAGCATTTCAGCCTGCTCTCAGGCTCCCTTTAACAGTCAGTCACAGAGAGGGGTTTCTTCATGGTTCCAGATTTTTCCAGCGTCTGACAAAGACTACTGGTTCCTGAGTACTTCAAAGCACTGGGTGGGGCATATCTTTTCAGAGCGTTCTTGGCAGGCATGGCGAAAACCCATCTAAAGATCAAATTTTAATGGCTAAAAGCAAGTGGGCTTACAAACTTTCTATGTTCCTACTTCCCATAGGGCTTGATCAAGGGCACTGTAACCCAGAGGAATTACTGAAACCCAAATGAAGACTGAACATGATAGTGGGACAAGAGGAAAGTAAAAGGAAATAGAAGAAAGATCTAGGAGGCAAAGGGCATTTATAGAGGTCTAAATACAGGCATGTGTATATGTAAAAATATTTACTATATATGACAATAGTGAAATAAATCTATGTACATACATTTATAGGTTTAGTATTAAGGTAGAAGATGGGCATTGGGCCTCTACTCAAGTACTCCTTTAATACAAGAATACTTTGTTCTATTAAATTGGCATTCCACGATGCTCACCTTCCCCAAACGATCTAGGGACATATATTTATGTTTAGTATTAAGGTAGCAGATCACGTAAATATGTAAATATATTTATATTTGCGGATGTGTAGATAGATCTATGTGCAATTGGACATCCCCTTACAGTAGGGTCACGGGGAGGAGACAAGCCAGTCACGGTGCAGTGTAGCAACGATGAAACATACAACTTTCCTCTAGTTCCTAAATGC